GTGTTCCAAGGAAAAGGGAATTCCCCCCACTCGGCTCCAAACCGCTTCTTGATAACCTCCAGAAATCTTGCAGTGTCACATAAATCCATTTTACAAAAATACATATATCCGCTCTCCTCTCACGAAAATAATTTTTTTCCTAAATGGTTTATCCTTAAATCTGCAAAGCAATCCAAATTTGTCGCTTTTCTTCAATTGGGTACCGGAAAAGAACTTTTTATAATAGTGTGGGACTCCTTTTTTTAAAAAGAAATTTAGAACCCCTATCCCCTTTCCTTTTTGAGGGCGAAAAATTGGTGAGGGACGTTTCCGGCTACAAGGGCAAATGGGGGATGAAAGGAACGAATTTTTCATTTTTTATGAGCTAAGCCCCGGGGAAAAAAAGTCCTTTTTTTTTCATGGGGCCAGGGGGGGGGGGGGGGGGTAAGGGCAGAGGGTGGGGTGGGAACTGGGTGGAGGGGAGCTATGGGGGGAAAAAGGGGGAACAACTGTAATAATCTGAACAATAAAGATTTATTTAAAAAATATATTTTCAAATAAATAGGAGGGCCTATTATATGCTAGAAAAACTTACTGGCCAAGCAGATAGACATGTAAATAATTACATTAATAAAAGGTAATAATATTAGGTACACAGTGCAATGAGGATAGAAAAAAATGCATGCCAGGGAAGTAAGCATGAACGTGGGAACATTTAATTTGAGGTAGGTCATTGAAAGGAGGCATAAGAATAAACCAGATAAATCAAAATGAATGCTTGGTTTCTGTTACTCTCCCATTACACATAGCACACAAAATAGTTTATATTTTATCTCCTGAAAATATTAAGGCTTTCCCCAATAAAATTCACTAAATTAAGATACATGTGCCAAAAAAAAGGGAACAAAAAAGGACGCAACTCACTTTCAATGAAAAACATGAACCAGAATCCCTAAATTTGGGTAATGGGGGAAAGATGTTCATTAGAAAAGGCATACTATAAAATAACTTAGTAGAAAAATATTTTGGGTTATTTCAAAAATAATGCATTCAGTTTACTCTGTAATATATTACCTTTATTTTGCCCACATTGTAAGATGAAATTTTTTATAGTACTTAAGGAACTGAAAAAAACACATACGTTTAAAAAGGCCATGACTAGCCAGCATTTTTTAAAAAAATAAGAATGCCTACAAAATCCAACATACACACACACATACACACACACACACACACTGGCTAGGTGACTGGGGGACCTTGCCCAAGTTGAATTTACTTGTCTTAAATCATGATGTTCTTATATCAGGAAAACAGGGATTCTGAAAGCACACTTCTTACATGATATACATAAATCACTTAATAGTACCTGAAATATTTAATGAAGCGTTCAATAAATCTTAGTTCCTATTATCATCCTGGTCCCATCTACTATTTAACGGAGAATGTAGGAAGACACAAATGCTCCAAAAACCAACTACAGAGGCACAAAACCAAAGATATATCTGTTTTAAAAAATATTCCTTTTAATTCCAAGGAAATAAGGTTACACATTTTACATTAGTTATATATCTTAGTATGACTGTAATCTGTCCCTGTTTACTGAAAAATTGTAAATGGAAGATTATAAGAGAGGGTTTCGAGTGCCAGCAAAAGTTACTGGCGTGCCATGTTTGGCACGCGTGCCAGGGGTTGCCCACTCCTGTCCTAGGGCAATGGAAACCAAGGAGAAAATAAACAAATGGGCTGACATCAAAATAAAAAGCTTCTGCACAACAAAAGAA